TGACGATGATGCTGATGATGATGCTGATGATGATGCTGCTGATGCTGATGCTGATGCTGATGATGCTGCTGATGATGATGATGATGATGATGATGAAGATGAGGATGAGGATGAGGATGATGATGATGATAATGATGACGATGATGCTGATGATGATGATGATGCTGATGATGCTGATGATGCTGATGCTGATGATGATGATGTTGATGATGGTGGTGGTGGTGATGATGATGATGTTGGTGGTGGTGGCGATGATGATGATGAGGATGATGACGATGATGATGATGCTGATGCTGATGATGATGACGACGATGATGATGATGATGCTGATGATGATGATGTTGACGATGATGATGATGATGATGATGATGATGATGATGATGATGAATGATTATGCTGATGATGATGCTGACAATGATGATGCTGATGATGTTGATGCTGATGATGATGATGGTGATGATGTTGATGATGATGATAATGATGATGATGTTGATGCTGATGATGATGATGATGATGATGATGATGATGATGATGATGATGATGATGCTGATGATGCGACGAATGGATGATGGATGATGATGCTGACTGATGATGATGATGATGATGATGATGATGATGATGATGATGATGATGATGATGATGATGATGATGATGATGATGATGATGATGATGATGCTGATGATGATGATGATGATGATGATGATGATGATGATGATGATGATGATGATGATGCTGCTGATGATGATGATGTTGATGCTGCTGCTGCTGATGATGATGATGATGATGCTGATGATGATGATGCTGATGATGATGCTGCTGATGATGACGATGTGGAGGAGGAGGCGGAGCAGGAGGAGGAGGAGGAGGAGCAGGATGGGGGGGGGGGGGGAGGGGAACGAGTATGATGAGGAGGATGATGATGAGCTGGAGGAGGAGGAGGAGGAGGAGGAGGAGGAGGAGGAGGAGGCGGAGGAGGAGGAGGTGGAGAAGGAGGAGGATGAGGAAGAGGAGGAGGAGGAGGAGTAGGAGGATGAGGAGGAATATTAGCAATACTATGCTGATTATATATAACAATACCCATCCTGATAAGAAAAAGAAGACTACTAAGACCAATAGGAAGAAGACACGTAAGTCTAAGCATACTAAGAACACACATAAGACTACGACGACAAAGAACACGCATAGCATTACTACTACTACTACTACTACTACTACTACTACTACTACGAAGGCTAACACGAAGACGGGCACGGATAGTGAGGATACGAATAGGAATGCTACTACTATCAAAACGGAGGCTAATAATCAGCAGACGAATGCGACGAACACTAGGCATACGCATGCCAATAAACATGTTAATACTACTATGAATAAAGGTAATACGAACGATACTACTAGGACAAGCAATAGTAACATTAATACCACGAGTGCTACTACTAGTAATACTAGTACTACGGATAATAATAATATTCAGGATGCAACGAATAATAAGAAGGCGAAAGCTAATACGAATACCAAGAGTTGTAACACTACACGCACTAATACCAATACTACTATCACACATACTTATACCACTGCTAATAATACGGATGATCGTATCAGTAATACTAGTACTATTAATACTAGTAGTACTAATACAACGGCGAAGCAGACTAATCCGAATACTAAGAAGCAGCATGAGACAACTAACGATACTACGAATCATAATCATGCACATTAGACACATGAACTTACCAAGAATACGAATACGACAACTAATGATAAGATGAGGGGGAGGAGGCGGAGGAGGCGGAGGAGGAGGAGAAGGGCGCGGACGAGGAGGAGGAGGAGGAGAAGGAGGAAGAAGAGGAGGAAGAGGAGGAGGAGGAGGAGGAGGAGGAGGAGGAGGAGCAGGAGGAGCAGGAGGAGCAGGAGGAGAGGAGGAGGGGAAGTGGAGGAGAAGGAGGAGGACGAGGAAGAAGAGGAGGGGGAGGAGGAGGAGGAGGAGGAGGAGGAGGAGGAGGAGGAGGAGGAGGATGGGGAGGAGGCTGAGGCGGCGACGGAAAATGAGGAGGAGCAGGAGAAGGAAACCGTATACCTATACGACCACCTTTCGGGTGATAAGGAGGTTGTGGGGGGGGATGGGGGGGGGAACCAACATCTGACTTAATCGATCTCACGGTCGATCTCACTCAACGGGACACCACGGGCCACCACGGGACACCACGGGACACCGCGGGACACCTCTCGATCTCATTATCGGTCTCACTATCGATCTCGCTCAACGGGACACCACGGGCCACCACGGGACACCACGGGACACTGCGGGACACCTCTCGATCTCATTATCGGTCTCACTATCGATCTCACTATCGATCTCACTCAACGGGGCACCATAGGACACCACGGGACACCTCGGGACACCACATCTATCTCACCATCGATCCCATTATCGATCTCACCATCGATCTCACTCAACGGGACACCACGGGACACCACGGGACACCACGGGACACCTGTCGATCTCACAATCGATCTCACTATCGATCTCACTTTTTGGGACACCACGGGACACCACGGGACACCTCGGGGCACTACATCGATCTCAGTATCGATATCACAATGGATCTCACTCAACGGGACACCAAAGGACACACCACGGGACACCACGGGACACCTGTCGATCTCACGATCGATCTCACTATCGATCTCATTTTTTGGGGCACCACGGGACACCACGGGACACTTCGGGGCACCACATCGATCTCAGTATCGATCTCACAATCGATCTCACTATCGATCTCACTATCGATCTCTCACTCAACGGGACGCCACGGGACACCACGGGACACCGTGGGACACCACGGGACACCGCGGGACACCGCGAGCCACCACCGGACGGACGGACGGACGGGCGGGCGGGGGATAATCTTTTGTCTTGACTTCGCCCAAGCAGCGGCGGACACCACGGGACACCACGGTACACCGCGGGACACCGCGAGCCACCGCCGGACTGGCGGGCGGGGAATACTCATTTGTTTTGACTTCGCCCTAGCAGCGGCGGGTTCATTCCTCTCGCGCGCCCACGCAGCTTCGCCTCGCCCGCACGCACGACGCGAACGAAACGAAGCGATTTTCCGGTTGGGGGTCTCCGTTCCACTGCGATCTCACCCCCCAAACCTCCGATGGAGAACGAGGAGGAGGAGGAGGAGGAGGAGGAGGAGGAGGAGGAGCAGGAGCAGGAGGAGGAGGAGGAGGAGGAGGAGGAAGAAGAGGAGGAGGAAGAGTAACATGAGGAAAACAAAAAAGGATAAACAGACTGCGTAGGAGGGGGGGAGAGCGGATGAGGAGGAGGAGGAGGGCGGAGAAGGGCAGAGGAGTATGAGGAGGGCGGAGGAGGGTGGAGGAGGGCGGAGAAGGGCGGATGAGGGCGGAGGAGGAGGAGGGCGGAGGAGGCCGAGGAGGAGGACGAGGCGGAGGAGGGCGGAGGAGGGCGGAGGAGGGCGGAGGAGGGCGGAGGAGGGCGGAGGAGGGCGGAGGAGGGCGGAGGAGGCGGAGGAGGGCGGAGGAGGGCGGAGGAGGGCGGAGGAGGGCTGCAGGAGGGGCGGAGGAGGCGCGGAGGAGGGCGGAGGAGGGCGGCGGAGGAGGGCGGAGGAGGGGAGGAGGGATGGGCGGAGGTAGGGCGGAGGAGGGCGGGAGGGCGGAGGAGGGCGGAGGGAAGGCGGAGGGAGGCGGAGGAGGGCGGAGGAGGGCGGAGGAGGGCGGAGGGAAGGCGGAGGGGGGCAGAGGAGGGCGGAAGGGGGCGAAGGAAGGCGGAGGAGGGCGGAGAAGGGCGGATGAGGGCAGAGGATCTGGCGGAGGGCGGCGGAGGGCGGTGGAGGGCGGCGGAGGCGGCGGAGGCGGGCGGAGGGGGGCTGAGGGTGGCGGAGGGTGGTGGAGGGTGGCGGAGGAGGGCGGAGGAGGGCGGAGGAGGGCGGAGGTGGCCAGTTGTCTTAATAGATGGTTGGCAGTTGGCTTTGGCTGGTTGTTGGCTGGCTGTTTGCTCGAACGTGTACTAATCAATAAGGGATGGTGCTTTCGGGAACGCGTGCGCTTGATACTTTACAGGAAAGGTTCGCGGCTTCCGGAGCGCACATCTTTCGCCATTTCTGAAGATTCGTGGCTTCGGGTATTGAGCATCATTTTCCGGAAACGACTGAGGTTCCGAAGCGCGCCCCCCGAACCCAATGCAGAACTTGCAGTTTTTCGGCTCTGAATAGGGGGGCTCTTGTGGGCAGCTTCCGTGGGGCGAGTCCGTGGATTCTGGAGCGCGAACCTGTTCAGGCTAACCAAGGCTTGTGGCCCCGGGGACGCGCATTCGCAGCAATCTGCGCGTGCTTGGGGCCTCGGGAGCGAGCACTTGTCGCAACTCACAGCAGATTGTAGCCTCGGCATGCAGGCCTCGATGCCTGGGGGGGGGATCGAGCCACTGGTTCGCAAGCGTCGAGCCCGAAGAACCACGAACGGACCGCACGACACGACGATGGCATGACCAACCACCACGGCACGGCACGGCACGGCACGGCATCGAGAGCACTGCCCGCGCGGCACGGCGCCGATTTGCCGACATCGGGCCGCACGGCACGCCACGGCACGGCACGGCACAGCATGCTGGCGCACGCCACCTGGGGTCCTCCTGGCCCCATTTTCGTCCTCGTTGCCGTCCCCGTCTTCCGCCGAAATCCCTTCTCCTTCCCCCGAATTCCCCCCCTCTCCTCGTCTTCCTCGTCGGCGCCCTCTTCCTCCGCCGAAGCCCCTTCTCCTTCCGCCGATCTCCTCAGCCCCCTGCCTCCCCCTCCTCTTCCTCCTCCTCCCCCTCCTCCTCCTCCTCCTTTCTTCCTCCTCCTCCTCCTCCTCCTCCTCCTCTCCTCATCCTCCTCTTCCCTTCCCCCTACCCCTTCTCCTCCTGCTTCTCCTCCTCCTCCGAGTTCCTGTTCCAACTCTCACGGCGCGCGTCCTCCGTGGCTCTATCGGCCCCGCAGCACCGTGCGCGCCCCCGCGTGGACCAGGCGATGGCGCGGCGGCGGGCGGACCGAATCCCCGTCGCCGCCGCGGACAGCCCCGCCGTGTCGCCCCAGCGCGAGGACGAG